TAATTTTGGACCACTCAGCAGCAGTCCAGTCCTTTTTGTCTTTAGCCCAGGCGAGACGCTTCTGACACTGTCTCTTGTTCAAGAGTGGCTTGACATAAGGAATGCGACAGCTGAACCCCTTGTCTTGCATATGTCTGTGCATGGTGGTTCTTGAAGCACCGACTCTAACTGCAGTGCACTCTTTGTGAATCTCCCCCACATTTTGGAATGGGTTTTGTTTCACAATCCTTTCCAGGGTGCGATTATCCCTATTGCTTGAACACTTTTTTCTACCTCGTTTTTTTCCTTCCCTTCGCCTCTCTATTAATGTGCTTGGACACAGAGCTCTGTGAACAGCCAGCCTCTTTAGCAATGACCTTTTGTCTCTTGCCCTCCTTGTGCAAGGTGTCAGTGGTCGTCTTTTGGACAACTGTCAAGTTTAGCAGTCTTCCCCATGATTGTGTAGCTACAGAACTGGACTGAGACCATTTAAAGGCCTTTACAGCTGTTTTGAATTAATTAGCTGATTAGAGTGTGGCACCAGGTGTCTTCAATATTGAACCTTTTCATTTCTGAGATACTGAATTTGGGGTTTGCATTAGTTGTCAGTTATAATCATTAACATTAAAATTAATATTTGAAATATATCAGTCTGTGTGTAATAAATTAATATAATGTATAAGTTTCACTTTTTGAATGGAATTACTGAAAGAAAATCAACTTTTTCACGATATTCTAATTTTATGACCAGCACCTGTATGTACTGTACATTACTGCAAAATTTTATATGGGTACTCACCAGTGAAGATACTACAACTTGGCTAAACTCAACTTCAGGATTATTTGCGACTTTCCTTTCAATTCTTTGAGCTTAATATATAGATCGTTACTTCTGAGTTTGCGTTGCAAAACTATTTTTACCACATCAGTTTCTCCACTAGTGTTTGCTCCCTCCATTGCTGTTCTTTGAATTTTGGCAGAAGGCAGCAACCAGAAGCACTGTTGGCTTCTGGGCCGTGTAGTTCTTTTGACGTGCATTACAGTGTAGGCTTATTGAAAGAAAACTACAAAATGGCGGTGCCTGTCCGAAGTAATTTTTTTCCCGCTCCCGTTAACTTTTTTTTTACCGACCCAATCACATGAGTAATATTAAAGTTGACAATCATGCGTTGTGTATAATCTTGCATTGAAAACCCATGAACGACTGAGTCTGTGAATGTCAAACCATGAAGTATCGAGGGACTACTGTACATTACAATATATAGTGATCAGAGGTGCATTATGTATTGATAAAAAAAAAATCACATTTAAATGTGATTTTTCAAGCAACAGTAACCAGAGTCCCTCACTAATTCATGTTCAAAGTTAAGAGTTTTATATTTTTTTGAGTAATTTGTGAGTCAAAGTGAACTAAACGTGAACTTGACACAAAAAAAGCAAACTCATGAACTGCAGCAGTTTTAATGAGACCGTACTTGCTCTTTATAATTCTGCAGCCATAAGAGGTTTAGGTAAAAACTTGTGAAAGTTTATGAAGCTTGGCAGAAAGCCAGGATATGAGCTGAGAAGTTGGTGCTCACTTTTTAAGAATTTCCTGATTCTTTTTTCAAATGTCATTTATAATTGGTTTTCTCACAGCCTGTATCTACTTTCTGCCTGGTTAAATATTCGACTGGTGTCTGGAGTCAACCTGCAAGTACATTAAAGAAAACGGCAACACAGAAGAGATCCAGGTCCAGACTGGATTTCAGTAACCATCAAGTCAAACGTGAACGATTCAAGTAAAATGACCAGCGAGTCCAAAAACAACGAATGACCGAGTCGAAACCTCGCTTGTGAAATGTCATGCGTGTGTTCACACCAGACTAAATCAAATAAAGAAGCAAGCACCTTATGTTTACATCACAAACAGACTAAGTAAATGTGAAATAATTCTGTTATGCTTATAACCCTGGAAGAAATGCCTACAATATTTAACAAACACAACAGAAGCCTGTTCTCATAGGAAAATGAAAGATACTTGAAAATGAATGGGAAAAGGCGTCCAACTTTAATCCACAAAATTATTTTTTTCTTTCTCTTAGATTAAAAAAGACAAACAAAAAATACAAAAATAGATCCCAAATCACAAAAATAAAACAAACAAAAGGTACTGTACCACTAGGACTGAATGATTTTTGGAAATTATTCTAATTGCATTTTTTTTTAACCTCGATATTGCGATTGCGATTTAACGTGCAAATATTTTTCATTGTCTTCTTCTCCTCGTGTGTTTTTCAACAAACACAAGCAATAAATCAGTCGGTTTCAGTTGCAAAAAACCACTGTTTTCATCTCAGCTGCAACTCTTCTTTTTTATTTTTTTTATTCAACCTTTATTTAGACAGGTAAATCCCATTGAGCCTTGAGGACTCATTTACAAGAGAGACCTGATTTCAACAAAGAGTGATGACAACAATGCACAACAGCGACAACATAAGACAGTTTATAAAAAGGCATACAGATTAAAAAAAATATATATATTTTTTTACAAATAGGATGGCAAAAATGTAACACAAACCGCTAGATTATTAGGCGAATGTAGAAAACTAAAAACTGGAACATGTCTGCATTAGTCCTTGCCAGGAGTCCAATAGATTTTTAAAGCCACTTAGAGGTCAGGGTCGAGAGCTTCAGATGTTTTTGTAAGATATTCCAGGAAACGGGAGCGGAGTAGAAGAAGGCCCTTTTTCCAAGTTCAGTTCTCACTGAGGGAACACTGCAGGTAATAATGTCCTGAGAGCGCACGCTGTAGCTGCACTCACGTAGCGACATGTAGGAGGAGATGTTAATGAGATGTTTCTGCATTATTTTTGTATAGCTCAGACCGGGATATCAACTTTGCTAAAGTGTGCGCTCAAGGGCATTCTGTACCGCTTATCCATTGTGTTTATACCAAAGCTGTAAACCCGGGCCTGGTCACTATATTAATGGGCATCATGTGTTTCGCTTTAAACTCCGTTAGTGCTCAAGTTATTTCCACATGCCGTTTTGAATTTTGTTCATACGGAGTAATACCTTTGAACAGTTCGGTCAATGATCCCTGTCGGCTGGTACATGTCGTTGTGCAGCGTCTTCTTTTCATAGCAAAAAATAATTCCAAACAACAGACGTGCTGCCGCTCTTTGGTACCAAACTTTCAGGTGTGTCAGCTTCTGCCGAGCCTGACGCCATTGTGCAACTGGTTAAAGCGCACTGTTGACTTCTCCTGCCCTGCTTTGCTCCACTCCGCTCACTCGCAAGTCACGTAACCAGATCACGTGACCAGTCAAATCTTAGCCTTTGCGATTAGAAAATCTTCGTTTTATCATGTTGCGATTGTTATAAATTCCCTAGTATAAACTGCATGTCCTGAGCAGGATCTGTTTAGTGCTGAAGTCATTGTTTTTTACAATGGGCACCTTGTTGGGCAACTAAGGGGTCCTTGGGAATATATATTAAGTTGTTCACTGAGATTCTTTTTCTTTTTACGTTGATACCTGTCTGGTTTGTCATAAAGGTGAGCTATAACAAGTTGTTAACAACTGCTACTTGGTTCTTTTCGCATTAAACAACAACTTCCGTCTTTTCAAAGCTCCAAAATTCATGATTAAAACTTGTGCCTTCATCTAAAAAGTTGTTTTTCTCTGCAAAAAGAAGCTGAGAACTTGTTTACTGATTTTTAAAAAAAATTTTATTAAAAGCTTTGTGTGACAAATGCTATACTAAAAAGCTCAAACCACACAGAGCGTCTGTCATTTTGAGAACCAAAAAAACGGGAACGAAAGGCAGCCCATGTCACGTCAAGGGGCCTCCCTCACATTTTTGTTAAAGGGACACGCTGCTCACTCCCTCACAATCCATCCTTCAGCTCAAACTGTCTTATACTGGCATCCAGTGGGGAAAAAAAAAGTACTACACACATAAATTAACCAACATTTCTTCTTAAATTTGATAATAATTACTAATGTCAAATTTCAAACAATATTATCATTTATGGCAATAATTTCTGAGACAATTGACCAGCAAATTTTGTTTTCGTGACAGGCCTAATCTGGAAATTTGCATTACTCTGACTTGGAGGGTGTTGCACATTATATGTGAACTCTGTATTTTCTTTACATTTCCATTGGACGTTAACCGAACACCCGCTGAAGAACATCAGTAACCACTTTAAAAAGGTGCTATTTATGTGACGGCGTTGGTTGGCAGGCCTCAGACTGATGAAGTCTTTCGGGTGAAAGACGAAACTTTTCAGCCCAGAAAAATCTGTTCAGATGACCTGTTTTAGCTCTTCTTTTTTTTAAGTTTATTTATTTACCTGGATGATTGAGCTTGCATCAGGACGATTCTTTTGAAAGACCTTTATGATGCGTGATCTCCTTGTAACGCCCAAGGAAACCCAACCCAAACAACCACCCTCGGCTTATCCTGGTGCGTTATGTTCTTCTCTATTAAAGCAGGAAGATTCTTAGAAATTGAAACAATTGCTGGAGACTAAATTGCTGTGAAACAGTCCGTCAAACAAAATGAAGCAACGCGGTTGCCAAAAGTTGGTTAATTTCTCTTTACACTATTTCTCAACTTCATGGCTGAAAATGACACGGTCCAAAGATCAGGAGTCGTGTAAACAACACGCTGTTTGATATTGAGACTTTTAGACTCTCTGAACTCTTCAGTGACCTCAGTCTTTCTCTTTAATAGTTCATTTATTTCTAATAACACTAAAACACACTTCAGGAGGTTTTGCTGTTTTTTAAGTAGACTCATGACACACTGACCTTCCACTGATAAAGCATCACTCTTTCGAATTGTGCATTTAATACATAAACGTAATCGTCAACCTTTAATACATTTGTATTCCACTTAATATTGATCCTTATCGTTGTTTTTCCCTGCACCTGCTTTTGACCGGATGAAATTGCCGTCTCTCCACATGTTGCTGTTGTAGGAACTTCTTGTTAAATGTTTGTAACGTTGGCATTTTTTTCTCTTCCCCTCAGAGCCGACTGGACCGACCAAGGTGGTGAAAGCTGGGCATCCACCCAAAGGAAGACGAGGAGGAAAGGTAACGCTCCGTTTTTGTGCCTCCGTGTTTAATAGTGGCGCTGACGTGAAGTCAGGACTACAAAGTCTTTAACAGTCCTCGTTCACGGTTGAACCCGTGCCTTCGTGTAAAAAGTTGTTTTTCTCTGCAAAAAAGAGTAGGGGTGCGACTCTGTCTGGCGATTCGATGACGATTTTTGTTGTCACGATTCGATTCAAACGATTTTTCTATTGAAATGATCATAAATTTTGTTTGAATTATGTAATTGACAAGCTGAAAAGAACAACAATGTAAACAAATAGAACATTTATTTAAAACAATAATTTTAGGTTCTTTACTGTATCAAATCTTTTTGCATCATTTTATATTTTATACCAAAAATAGAAACAAATACAGGAGTGCAAAACATTCTGCAACTTAAATTACCTGTATTAAATTAGCTTAGTTGCCTAGATTTTTCTAAATAAATAAATAAATAATCTAGGAACAAATAATTCATCCATCCATCATCTTTACCCACTTCTTCCTTTACGAGTCACTGGTATCACTGGCGCCCATATCAGCCATCACTGTGCGAGAGGCGGGGGACAACTGGACAGGTCTCCAGTCCATCACAGACAAATGATTAAAAATATTTAAATACAAAATTAAACAAACTTCAGTCTACCATAGTATATTAAGCTTTAGCTCAAAATAAAATGCAGACCTCACAGTTTTTTATTTTACCATATTGCTCTAACAGTTGCTCTATTTTCAAAACTTAACCTAATATGAAATATACAGACTGTACAGTCGTAACCATATTGATTCATATTTGGTAAATCGTTAACAAAATTTAAAAACCTGTGCAAATCTGCACAAAAACTCTTCCGAGCTCGAATTTATAAACCATAAATTGTATCATTTAGAACCGACTCCAAGCGATGCGTCTCATCTGGTCTCTTCATCCTGTTCAAAAGACAAATGACATTGAGTTTTTTGTACAACTTGTCTATAAGTTTTAATATAATATGAGAAATAAGAGTTACCTTTGAGCTGCAGCTGCATCATAGCTTCTCCCATTCGTTCTTTCATGGTGAAGTTGTGGTGCTGCTTTATCGCAAACCCCAACAAAAAACGAACCAAAAAACCAACAAAGCTACGTGAAGTAATAACGTACATTGGATCCAGCGTATTAAAAATAAAACTAAACCCCTCACCTTCCACTGAGCCGTTTGCTTGTACATCCTTTGTGATATAGCAGGAGATGGAGAGCGAAATCTTTGCAGTCTTTGGGGAAGCCTGGGAATTTGTTGCAGAGTTCACTGGTCGGCTGCTTCGCTCTCATCTTTTGCGCATTTTGTCGTATTTCCAAAATACTGTACCGTATAATCTTATTTTACGCTTCTTGTAAACAACCGTGCTCTTGTTCAGCTCCGTCTTCCCCCGTAACATTGTAGGATCTGAAATGATTTTTAAAGATGAAGAAGTGGGTTGAATCGCGCTGTCCCCCTCCTCCATGCTAGCAGGCTCCATTCAGATAAAGGGAGCTAGCTAACTAGCTTGCTGTACGGTGGCCTACACGGCCAAAATTCTACGGCGGCCGAGCGGACACGTAATGCGATATGCAGTACGCTCGGGAGTAGGAGCGGAATAAAATGTAAAACTTTGAATGCATTTTTAAATCCATTTATGGGCCTTTAGAATCTGTTCAGAATCACCAGGAATAAGAATCTAGATTCTTTAAAAAATCGATTTTTTTCTGCACCCCTACTAAAGAGCTCAAACCACACAGAGCGTCCGCCATTTTGAGAACCAAAAAAAAACAAGAGAGAGCCCATGTCGCGTCAAGAGGCCTCCCTCCCATTTTTCTTAGAGACACGCTGCTCGCTCCCTCACTTCCATCCTTCGGTTCAGTCATATACTGCCATCAGGTGGTCCAAAAAGGTACTACACTCAAAACAAATTAACCACAATTTCTTCTTGAATTTGACAAGTTATTGATTATTCCAAAAAAGTTCAATCTGGTCCTCTGGACATTCAAAAAAACAAAAG